GCTGCAGCACCTGCCGCCGCAGAGCATGGAAGAGTACCACCTCGGCGAGCTGGTTGAGCCCATGGTAAGTTTGCAGTGAAGAGTGTTGTAAAATCATGATACATCGTGTTCGGAATCGAGAATTTTTTTTTTACCAAAACTGACATGTTGAGTTGACGTGCCATTTTAATTCTGTGTTTGTTATGTAGGTCTGGGTGTATGCAGAGGATGTGTATAGATTTGTCCCATCTATTGTGTGGGATAAATTTGCGACTGTCTTCCCCAGAGTCTGGACTGCCTCTGCTTTCAAGGGTGCCTTTGGAGAGACAATGTACATTCCCAACATAAAGCGACATTTAGAAAATAACTTGAAGTGGTTAGAAGTTATGGCGAGTGAAGGACCTAAATTTAAGGAAGGATTTCAAGGCCTTGTTATAACAGGATGGCAACGGTAAGGAATGTTTTATTTTTTTAAATCACTTGAATCTTTGACAGTATCATAGGATCTTGTTCTAAAATTGTTACTTTTGTTGAATTTCCAGGTATGATCACTTTGCTGTTCTATGTGAACTGCTACCTGCAGCGATTCCTTCGCTTGCGGTCAATCTGCTAACAGTATCACATGGATACATTAATCCATCTCTCAAAGGGAAACTCAGCACTGCATTAGGGTGCAGTATGAGCAATGGCGATGGATCAATGTCAGGAAGAAGCGATACTGGAACCAATACTGATCAAATGTTCCTTAGTCTTAATTCAGATCCTTTCTTGTGGGATATGTTTAACCGGTGTAACTTTCCCGGTGTCCCCTTCTTCCGTCTCACCTATCGACTCCACAATGTTCAAAGGGAAGTGCGGGACTTCCTCCATTCTGTCACAAAAGCCAAAGGTACTGCAAATTCATCCTGTGAACTTTGTTTCTCTGTTGTAATGTGTTGTCTGCGTAATGATAATTATTTTAAACTTTAAACTGTTTGTTTTTGCAGGTTGGATGACTGACTTTAATGTAAGACGCAACTTTTCAAGTCCGTTACGTGTTGACGAGCTCATGATGGAACAGCCCCGAGTATATCACTCATTAGTTTCAGTTGCTCACTCTGCAAATGATGCATTAAAGGATGTGTTTGATGCTCATACTATTGCTGAATGGGTGGAGCAAAGACTTTATCCAGATATCAAAAAACTAGAAAGGCTAGCCCAAGAAGCTACGGCTCTAAAGGGTAGAAAAGTGTGGCCAAGAAGACCACTAGCCCCACTTTCAGAACTTCGCAGATTTGGAGTTGCCCTGCCAGACAGTGAAAAAACAGAGACCATAACAGATAGCCCACATTCACCATGACTGCGAAAATTATAATCCTCTGGATTTAATGATCACATGAGGGTCTTTTCCCTTGCATTGTGTTTTAAATGCTTAGAGAGACCAACAAATTGTCACTACAGCATGAAAAGTCAATGCAATATTTTTTGAAGTGACTCTGAAGGTTTTAAAATGACAAATTATTTATTATTTGAAAGTGTATTATACCCATACTTTAGTAGATCATTTCTTTGTAGTATTTATTTGTGGCAGACTTCATTCTATTGAATGACAGAACCTCTTATTTGTAGTTTTTTTCTTCTTTTTTAAAAAAAGAATAATAATTGTACCTGCTGTTTGGCTTTTTTAAGCCAGCTTATAAGTGGCTTGTCGACTTTTGACTTTCTTTCAGTATCTAAAGACACAATCAAATGATAAGCTATTTTGATGAAGTGAGGACATTTCTGCATTTGACATATTATTGGAAGATCTTTGTTCACTGATTTTATCGAATTGAGTTGTCGTCAAAAAATTTTAGATGGTGGGTCATTCATTGTCTTGGAATATAATCTAATCTACTAGGTCTGTATGTATATCTCAGAAGAGTGATAAGGGTTGCCTGAGAACATCAAGAATGTACCGAAATAGCTTGCAGAGGGAAAAGCTAGTTATTTTGTGGGAGCATTGAGTTTTGCCCCAGGAGTTAAAATGACTGCTTTTGAAAATGGTTATCGACATCTCACCTTAAGCCATTCAACATGCAGAGGGTGTAAATTGGCACCTTTAGACTGAGAAAATAGATGTGGTTAGTCATTTGGTTCAATTTTCTGTGCCAAATGCACTCTACCTTTAATATGTGTGTAAACATATTAACTAAATAGTCAGCAATGCCAATCATTGATATATAATTATCATTGTGGTCTCTCCTTTACTCTGTTGCACTTTCATTTTTCAAATTTTAAGATTTTTTAAATGAGTGATATTGTAATCTTGTTTTCTGAGAGAGGGTCCAAAATACTTAAGTCATTGGCTATTTGTGTCAAAGGAATTTTCTTTTATACTTTTGTGTCTTTCTATTCCCATTATTGCCTTAGATCAAATTTTGTATTCACACGATTTTCTTCTATGGAAATTAGGTTTTGACATATTAATGTTTCATGTATTCTCTATTCCCTGTGGCTACTAGACATACTGTAGTCAAGGATTGAACAACGGAAAACCTTTTGAATTGTTTATGTTAGGGAACTTGAGAGATTGCTTTCTGTGATTTTGTTTTCAATCTGCACAACAATTTTTTAAATGATTTATTACTGCCCAACTTTTCTGTTTCCTTGTAAATTTAGAAAGTTTTTTTTATGCAACAATCTTTGAGCTTATTATTACAGATCTTATGTAAATCAGCATATTACAGTTCATATGTTAATCACTCATCTTTAACTGTCATCTTTTTGGTGGAAATGTTCTCCCTGAAAACCTGTAAGAAAACAGTTTCTTTCCCAGAAAAACAGTGTTTTTAAATCAATAGACTTGATTCAGAATTTTCCTTGGTTTGAAAGGGTTTTTGCTGGCATTCTTCTAAACATCCAATACAGTAATTAAAACTTAGTGAGGTTGTTGATTTTCTTGCTCATGATTAGTTTCATATAAGGCATCCTTCAAAAGCTAATTCAGTTGGGGAGTGTAATTAAGTAACAGTGCTGGAATCCATTGGATACTTAGTGTCATTGCATATAGGTGGTGTTTCTCATTCTGTATTGCACTTCAGCATTTAATACACCGCTAGTCATTTCAATTTTGTAATTATTTTTATTTTCGTTGTTTTTCCTGGTCTCTCTCAAAAACGAAGTCCAAGTATATTTCAAACAACCCAAATTTCAATATCTGTTCATCGTTTCAGGAGATCGATAATAGTTCACTGTAGTATAGTGTTAACCTTTGTACGACTTTTTTTTCTTATTATTTCATAATCAATTTGCGCTATGTACAGTTCTTTAGGCCAGTATTTTTACTTTTTCTCCATTGGTCCTTATCTATTTAGGGCTCCCAGTTTATTACAATGACTGTAAGTAATAATTTTGAAAATCTGTGCTAGAAGCACCATGTCATTTATTGTGATAAAACAGTATATTACTTTCATGTGTCTTGAGTTTTGTTATTATTTATCAACCATATGTTTATTTCAGTTGTGAGTTTTCCTTATTTACTTACTGTACCTGCTATATTCTTCTTTTGCCTCCTTTGTGTTATATTTACTACTGTTCTGATTTTGACAAATCTCATTATTCTTCTTTCTTCTGTATTGTTCATAGGCACATAATACTTATACTTTTGTGGAACACTTCCCTTAAGAATTATTTATTTGCTGGTTTTATTTGATTGTAGAACTTTTATTCAGTATTAGGTTTTCCTGTGTGCTTGTAAGTGATACTTGAGAATGGTATATTCCATCAGCCTCCCTGTTACCACTGTTGACATTTGGACAATTTGGATGTTAGTGGACTGTATTATCAGAATATTTAGTTTGCTTTTTGTATTATGAAAAAATTGTAATAATTGTCAACGAACCTGATAAGAAGCCAGGCTTCTTTAGAAGCACATAGACAAAATGTCTCAACATCCCTGGATTATGTGATAATACTGCATTGTACTTGATAGGTTCTGTGATGAATCTCCAGGTGATTTTATTTCTGTTTAATTTTCCGTAGAGAATTATTTCTTGCTGTTGTTTTACTGTCCCAAAGTCAAGAAATCTTTCTCTTTTTAAGAAAAAAATATATTTATGAGATTAATTACTATTTAAAAAATGGTATGGTTTGTGGTCAAGTGTGTGCCGTATGAGTATTTGTTTAGTATGATGTGTATGTGAAAGAGGTGTGAATGTGTACAGGTTTATGAATAATATTGTGTGGAGGTGGACTGTTGTTACCTTTGAGGCTTTATAGGTTGTTAATAGAGCAGTTGCCATCCATGTTGTGGACAATTGTTTTAAATGTTTGTAATTGTTTTAGGAGCATGAAGAGATCTGAATAATTTCAGTTGTTCAAGACTCTCTTGTAAAAACGAAAGAAAAAAAATAAATGCAACTACTTTTCATTTTGTTCATTTCAGTTCTATTTTCCCCTTTACCGCTGATAGATTTCAAACAGCTTACCCTGACCTATATCTGGTGACACCATGTTCCTCTGGCCAGCGGACTTTGGTCATCCCCCGCACCCTCATGAATCATGAAATAGCTCACTCGGTCGCGAGTCCTTGGTCACACCCTCGAGGCCATGTCCGTCCGGCTAGAGTCTGTTATGGTCACCGTCACCATGCCTGTTCCATGACATGACAAGATTATCTCGGTGCGGCGAGGGTGGATAAGGTGCAAGAGCGCGTCTTTTGCGTGTGATAGGGCAACGTGCGGCCGCACGCGCGTGTACACTCCCCCACGGAAGCCGAGGGGGGGGGGGCTATGCGAAATTAAAGCCCGCCTCGAGGCCCCGACACGATGCCCGACACCCGACATTCGCGATCTTCCTTCCTCATCGAGAACTGGGAAGTGGAGAGGGAGTACCCACTTCCCGTTTCACGTACGTTCCCTCACCACACCAGTATCATTGACGAATGACCTGGTTCATTTGGACCATGCGCGTGCGTAGGCTTAAGTTCAGAGTGTGTTTGTCATGTTTGTTTTTTTCATTCAACATCTCTACCCAGTCTCCCTCCCCTCCCCGCCTTCCCTCTTCCCTTGTGGGGAAGGAAGGGGTGAGTGGAGTGTCTTGTCCGTCCAAACCTGCGCACTGCGTTGAGCTGCTTTGTTTTCCCGTGATGCTCTGCAGCAAACAGCTGTACTGTCCGAGTGAAGCACATCGTGCAATGGACTTATCTGATGTTTTAGCAACATTTTAAAGGTGTGTAGTCTTACAAATTGGGTGGAATGTAGTGCGTTTTGGTCGAATCAATCCTTTGATTACTGAATCATGAAAGATTGTGGCTGCGTCGTCTGCTTCCGTCAACACGAAGTTGGGTTTCCTTTGTTCAGGGTCAATGTTATTGTTTTGATTCGCTCTTTAAAGACATCCGAAATTTTGTTGTGACAAAATGATGGTCGTTTTTGTGGATTTTAACGGTATTCCAATGTTGCATAGTTCTTAGTAACCTATTTCAAGAGAATTTTCATGTGCGCAGTTTCTTTCTGACCGTAGTAGGTTAACTTCCTTCTCCATTATTTTTGTTTTGCTGTTATTTGTTTGATTGGAGCATTCGCAGCAGCATCGTTTTCATTCTTCCTCTCATATGCAGGGTTAAAACTTGTGAAACATACTCCTTTTCTCTTGAAAGCAAACAAATGATTTTGTTAAAAAAAATATGAAGTATTTTTAGTGTGATACACCATTGAGTGTGAAATTTTAATGATGACAACAATATTAACTGATGTTACATTTTACTTTCTGGATAGTAAAGGTTGACCTTTGTCATGTTCAATTTAAAAAAATTGGGAATATTGACGTTCTTTTGATGATTTAGTCTTCCCAACTGAGGAATTTATTAGTAATTTATTCACATAAGGGTGTAAGGTCCTTGTTTTCTTGGAATAGACCTTTTCGACCACAATTTGGCAACTACGTAAATCTTTAGTGAAATTGTAACTGGGGCAAAATTTCTAAAAGCAAAACCACCTCACCCTGTTGAATTTTCTAAGGATTCCGGTGATGGGTTATTGTTGACAAACATTCAAAATATGGTTTATCTCAAGTATTAAATTCTGCTTGCAACATTGTCATGTTGTGGCGAAAAGGTCTATAGTTTGGAGAAACATCTAACATGCAATGAATTTAAATGAGTTTGCTTCTTCTGTATTAGAAGTTGCACAAAAGTAAAACTATTATTGGCAATTTTTCCTAGTTATTCCCTCTTGTTCAGGCTTCACTCTCTGTGTAGCTGACCTTTGTACATAAAATTCCCTTTTCAATTGGAGACTAATATACCTATTTGTTCTTTACATTTTACAATGGTACAGCTGCATTGCTCACATTTTAACTTGTTTTCATTAAAAAGGGAACCGTTCTGATTTCCTTTATACCTGCTGACTGTGTTTCACAATTATATATCTTCGACGGTTTTGTCATTCTCATAAATTGGACTGTTTAGTTATTTCAGATTGCGCACTTATTCGTAAACGAAACAATACCATAAGTTTGCATTTTGCATGTACTTTCAGAGTCTATATTTTCTTATCTTTTTGAATATTTGAAAGTTTAAAGTGGTTTTTTTTAGAGGTCTTTGATTTCGTTGAATTTGCGTGTTTGCAAATTTAAGAATTTGTTTACATCCTTTTAAATAGCCTGTTCAGCCTGGACCTGTACCAACTGTTGAAGTACAACGAGGGACGTTTTGGAAACTACACATCTCAGCAAAATAGACGTTTGTTTTGCGCACACTTTTTAAAATACGTATTCACTGAAAATTTATTGCGTAATTTTTATCATGTATTTTCCTAGACATGTTGCAATCTTGTGTGTTAAATTACGGGGGTTGGCAACGGAACGGAGTCCCCTGGCCGAGCGTCTGCTAGGTGGAGGTGTTTTCGTGTTGTCGTGCTTCAGAGAGGACTGCATTCCACTGATCGTTCTTTTATTTAATTCAAAATGTGATTTGTTTGATTCGAACATGAATTGATAACTCGCGGAGGTAAGAGGTAAGACATTGATGCTACGACGCGACGTCGAGTCCGTCGTAGATGGTAGAGTTCGGATGGTTCGGATCAACGACCTCCCCCCCCCCCCCCCCCCCCCCCCCCAAACACACACACTGATCGATGTTGGTAATCAAAACAAAGTGTTTTTGCGCTGAGAAACTAGAGCTCCCTAACATCACCGGTGTTTGTAACTAGGATGTTTCACTTTAGTAGGAGAAAGATGTCTGTCCTGTATTGTGTAAAGTCTAAATTGTGATTTATCTTCAGGCTTCAGAGTATGTTGGTTTATTCATTTTGCAAGATTTTATTTAAATTTTCACTTTACCGCAGAAACAGTGTAGAAAAAAAATGACAAATACTTCAGTACGTTTTTTATAATTTTAGTTATTAATTTTCCTGTGTCTTCCTGCTCTATGATTTCAGGTGGACACTGCTGTACAGGTGTCTACCACCAAATCCTCTTATCACTGATGTTCTCAGTTTGACAAATCTCCTTCGGGAGAATAGGGTGGGCAAAATGTTGTACATTTTCCATGTTGACACGGGATCAATGATGACCTTTGAGATGAACTTGGCTCTAGAGAGGTAGCATATTCTTAAGAATGCATTTGCTCATTTTGACTTTTATTTTGTCTGTGGTTTTGTGATTAGTGATTTGTATGTTTCGATTGACAGTGTCGCTCATCTCAAAGAAGTCATTGAAAGAGCCTGCCGCATTCCTCCAGAGAAACAAGTTCTCCTTGTAAGTGGTGGCCTAAGTTTAGAGCCAACTGCAAGAGTATGTTCCTATTCTGCTGGAACAGATACAAACCCTATCTTCCTCTTCAGTAAATGCTCGATTGAGAGTGTCAGCCCACCCTCTCCCAGCATAGACTATGGATCAGGTGAGTTTCTCCACAATCTCCTTTCTCACTGCCTCTATCTCTCAAAATGTCTCAACAACGTGAACCTTCTTTTTTTTTTTTAAGATATGGATCTTAAGGAACAGGTTGATGCTTCACTCAGCATGCCAGCTTCATACAACACTGTGGTTGTGAGGTCTCAACTGGCTCAACAATATTGTGAGCTAGCAAGGGACCAGACACGTATTTGTGAGCGACTTGTTCATGACCAACATTTGCAACAGCAGGGTAAAATTATACATACTTGTTCAAAAAGATAACTTCTCTATAATTGCTTGAAAACTAATTATTTATTTATTTTAATCTATCTATTAAGGTTGGGCAGCAGTTGTGGCAAATTTGGAAGATAGTGTATCAGTCTTTCGTACTCAGGGTGATGCTTTCGAACAAAGCTATCAGCAACATTTGGAATCACGAAGTCAATATATGCAGCTCTTGGAAAAGTATATTAAAAACAGCATTTAAGAACCTAGCACTTCAATCCTATTTCGTGTACTTAAAAATTTTCTCTTTGCAGTTTTAATGAAGTTCTTAACACACTCTCCAAAATTCCAATCTTGCCTGGCCTACTGGCTACTGCAGTAGAAAGTATGCAAGCAGGTGATTCAAAGTCTAAAGATGTAGATATTGCTGAAGAACTGCCCCAAGCTGAGAATATCTCCTCTAGCATGTCAGCAGCAGCAACCAGTGATGAAAATGAATCAATGGCAGTATCTAAGAAAAGCAATAGCAGCAATGGTGAGGATTGGCAAAGACAAAGAGAGGAGAAGGCTGTGACTCTTCTCCAGTGGATATCAACCAAAGACAATCAGAGCACTTTAGAGCAAATGGTGGATCAATGTGCAAGGGGTTTGGAACAGGTAAACTTTGTGATCCATGTTACATATTTAATCTAATATTTTTGTCTTTTGTTTAAAATTATTACTCATCGCCACTCTTTTGACAGCTGGATGAACGTGTCTTGGATAGTCTGAGAGCTGAAGTGCAAAGTGCTCTTGAAGCAGCTACGAAAGTGGACATGAAGGAAATAAAGGGACTTGAAGAACGTTTATATGGCTTAGAACAGCTTATGTTTGAAAGCAAGCGGATAGTTCAGGAACAATCTGATCTTGCAATGGTGAGTAATAATTATTATTTCCTTTATATTATTGTTGATTGAACTTCTTCTCTCAAGGGTTTTGTCTCCTGCCAGGCCTTCCAGTCCAATCAAAATCGTGCCAATAACCTTGGAGATGCATCTATTCTTCCTGATTTGTGTGCATCCCACCGTAGGCAATTACATGTAATGTCTCAGAACCATACCAGATTAAGGGACATACGAAAACGTTGCAATAGAGCTAAAGAAGAACTTTCTGTTAACCTGTATCACAGGTTGAGGTAGGTTTGCTTGCTTGGAAACACTTTGTGTGCGACAGGTCCACAATGTGAACCTGTTACATGGGTTTTAGGTCCCCTCTGCAGTTTATGAATAATTTTGCAGATTAGTTTATGTTTTCTATTTATTTATTTATTTTTTTAAATCTTGTTATAGATGGATCATGTATGTGGAGAACCGCATGTGTGATGTTGCAAGCAAATTAATGATTTATCATGAGAACTTGAAGAGGCTAAAAAGACATTTAGAAGTAGTTCGTCAAATACAAATGGCTCCCGAAATGTATGTGTGTGCTGTTGGTGAAGTTGTGCGAAGGCGCACTTTCTCCCAAGCATTTCTTGCCTGGGCCGGAGAGTTAGCTTCACAATTACAAGCTGTACATTCTGAAGAGTCATCAAGACGCAGAGATTTTCAGTCAAAGTTTGAAGGACATTTTTTAAATACTTTGTTCCCTGGTATGGAAGATTGTCCTCCTCCTTTTGCCACTCAGGCTCCTACTCCTTTTGACTCCATGTTACCCAAGGTAAAATTCAGTAATTGATTTTGACATTATGTGTGACATTACAATTATTATTATTTATTTTTTTATCAATAATAAATTATAAAGACCCTTAAAGTGCTCTTGGCTACAAAATAAAGGGTAGCTTACTCAATAATCTGGTGTGCCCATAAAATTCACTTATAATAGAAGATAAATGACTGTATTTTAATGTTAAACTTAACTGTTTTTCTAGTTGAGCAGGGAGGATGTAGATAAGTTGAAGATTGACGTTCCAAATTTAGCAATGTCTTTGACTGTTCCTGAACCCAGTCAACTAGCCAATCTTTTCCTCAAGTCTGTCCTCAGAACACAAAATTCGCTGGAAAAAGAAAATGCCGCTATTGAGAAGCGTTTGGTGTGTATTCTCTATTTACTTTTGTGCATGCTACATATAAAATGAATGAATTACCAGTTACTAGAAGTTATCATCCTTGAAATAATTTCCTCACTGTTTCTAAAGGTTACTGCTGTATCAAAGGCGAATTTAGAGGATGCAGTTTCCACTGCGCAAGGTGGCATTGAAACTGAAACTTCTCGAGCTCCTGGAGAAAGTCCTAAATCTTTACCTTTAAAAGATGATAGGTAAGCCATGAATATGTTTTTTTAGAAATGATTATTTTTTGCAATACTTGATATGTGTAAAATTTCTGTTTCCACTCATGTTGCAGGGACTCTGAAACTGATACTGAGGAGTTTGAGAAAGTTGGTCAGAGTCCAGACAGTGAACGTACAGCTGGAACTGCTGCTACAACATGTGAGGTTGGTGTTCAGAGCGTGTGCTATCAGGATGTGGGCATTCAGTGCAGTGCTCAACGCATACCTCTACAGTCACGTTCCAGTGCGCGTTCTGGAGACAGCTTTTCACTGTCAATGGAAAGGGATGTTTGTGAAATCCACAAAGTTAGCCTGGTGGAGGTGGCAATACAGTTTGATGGAGAATCAGAGGCTTTAGTGTTGTGCGGCAGTGAAAGTCCGAGTGATGTACCTACACCATCCACTAGTTCGTCGCTCTTTCCAGCTACTGATTCTGGAATACAATGTGATACATTAGTGGGAAGTTGTCTTCGGACTTCTTCTTCTTTCTCTCATGGGGCATCAGATGTTGCTATTCAAGTATCCTCTCTTGAAGCCCCTGCTTCCCCCTTACCGCGGATCATTTCTGTGGACTCACAGTGTGAGCTTTCTTCCTCACCCACTATGGATGTTGGAATCCAGTGTACCTCACCTTCATATGCGACATCTTCATTCTTTGTTGATCGGTCATGGCCTCTCCGTGGCCCTCGCTTTCATTCTGGTAGCGACGTGCGCATTGATGTTGCTACTCAGTGTTCATCACCGGGTCTTTCATCTCCAACACAGTCCCATGCTCAGCAGCATGTTGGAAATGAATTCACAGCCACTGAATTCTATATGGATGAATCCATGCCATCAAGCTTTACTGAAAGCAACAGTATGAAAAGTCATAATGTTTCTGATATGGACAAACACATTCAGGATTCCCAGACTTTGGTGCGGCTACTTCAGGTATCCTTGTAGCTAGCTGAGCACTGATGTAGCATTTTTATTTTTTATTCTCTTTTTTATCTTACTAAATTTTGGTAATTGGTTTTGCCACACTGCTTAGTTTGCTTCTTTCCCCTTCTGTATATGCTGTCTCAATTTTCTGTACAAAAACAAATTAGTGTCTTGTTTTTGCTCTTTTTAGACTTGCCAGTGAATTAGGTGCCTTAAGAATTTTATTTATGATTTGTTATTTTAGCAGCTTGTTGTACAGTTCCAACACAGTTTGAATTCTGATGTAGTACTTTGTCTTTTTCTATACTTTTATTGAATGTTATCCTTCTTACTAATTCCTCCTTTTTTTTTTTTTTCAAATAAAATTTCAGGATAATTTGGGAAATGCTCAACTTCAAGTAGAAAGAGCAAAGGCTCAGTTAATCTCGGTAGAGAAGGTTGCTCTTGCCGCCACTGAAAGCTTAAGAGTAGAACTGGGGCAGATAAAAGGTCAAGTTGCTGTTGAAAGAGATGACTTTTTAAAACTACTGGATACATTCAGAGTTGCATGGGAACAGCTGCTTGCTGCTGGACATGTTGCTCAGTCTGCAGCCAACAATTTGGACTTAAAAGTTGAACTGGAGAGGGAGAGAAGAGCTTTGTCAGCAAAAGATGAAATAATTAGAACCCTCACACAGGTAAGACCATCTTCATTGGCTCGTATTCTTAAATTATTCCGTATCAGTTTTATTCTACTTTCAATTCCTATTATGTTTCTCTCCATATAGTCTGTTGAGGAGCGTACTGCCACTGTTGAACAGCTGGAAGCATCACTGCGTCAGCGATTGAAGGCTGAAGAGGAGCAAAGGGCGCAAGCTGAACAGCTGCAATGGTTTGAAGAAACAAAAAGTAGTGTAAGCAATCCGGATCAACAGCGATGTGCAGAACTTGAGCGTCGTTTGTTGGAATTGGAAAAGGATAGAGCTCATTATGAAGATTTACAGACCCGCCTAGACAGTATTAGTAAAGACACTGTTGATGACTTGAATCGAGCCTTAGAGGAGCAGAAAGCAGCACTGGAGGTGAGAGAGGCAAGATTTGTTTGTAGTGTTTCTCCTTTGTTCACAATTCTAGATTCTTTCTCTTCCTGTCACAGAACTTACATCAACAGAGAATGAAGCAGCTTCAGGACGAATATGATGTTGAAAAGTCTAGAGCCCTGAAAGAGTTATCAGATCAGTTATCTAGAGATCACCATTCACAATTGGAGGGTCTACGATCACGATTCCGTCTCATGGCTTGCACTTCAGAACGGTCTACTAGTGATAGTGGTCAAGAGAAGGCTGAGGTATCATTGGAACCTTACGTACCAGAAATATATATTTTCTTGTTTATTTTCAATCAAAGCCACTTACTAATCTGGACTTATTTGTTTAGCAGATTGTTAGAAACACAAAACCTGAAGTAGACTTAGAAACTTTGGTGAGAGAAAAAGAAGCAGCAATTCAGGCAGCTGTACAAGAAACAGAAAAGAGAATGCAAAGTGAATGGGAATCAAAATTACAACAGGAGCTAAGAAATGTTAGGCTCAAAATGGAGGCTGAAAAACAGGTAAAGATCTGAATGGAAAATCTAAAAGTTAGGAAAAAAGCTGATTGTTAGCAGCTTTTGATTATTTTTAATTTTTTTACAAATTTTTTCAAGGTGTGGTTCAATGAAGCTTTGCGAAGAGTGAGTGGAGACAGAGAGCGTCAACTCCAAGCTCTTTGGGCTAGAGAGGCCACTTTGAAAGAAGAATGCCAAAAGCATAGAGAGACAATCCGTAGAATAACAGAAGATGCTAGTACTTCCTCAGGGTTTGTTTTATTTTTTCACCACTTAGAAAATTTGAACTTGTCTGTATTATTGCAATATAATTGGTTTTGATTTATTTTGACAGGAATCCTGAGAGCAATGGAGCACTCTGGCAGCATCAGGCCAGAATAAGTCAGTTAGAAGCTGAGTTAGCTCTGGCAAGAAATCAAATTAGTGCAATGGGAACCTCAGTTGCTGTTGTTGCTTCGTAAGCATACATTAGATTTATAAAACTAATTATACCACAGTTCTTATTCCTCACCAAATTAATAAACATCATCCGACACCTTACCTTTTAAATTTCTTTGTCTACATAGGGAGAATGTTACAAGCCGTGACGCTGCTACCAGTCCTGAGCCTCTCAGTCTAAAGAAAAATTTAACTTGTAGCGCCAACAATTTGTTGCAGCAAGGGAAAATTAGTATTTTAACGTAAGTGCAGTTTGTTGCCTATTGTTATCTGTATATCTTCAGTATCTTGGTGAAAGTATCTAAAATTGATTGTGTTTCTGCAGGTGTGTGCCTGGTGATATTGTGCTAGTTGTGTGGAATGACACTCACCAGAATTATGTCATTTTACAAGAGTCAAGTACACTCTTTTTTGTGAACTCTGATTCACTTGAATCACTGGGGCTCTCTCTCCAAGCAGGTTAGTGCTTATGTTGTGTGCTATAAAATTATGTAGGTGACATATTGGTAACGCTCCTCTTTTGAATCTACAGAGAGTGGGAAACGAAAACCCTACAGCACAGCTGAAGTAGTTGAAAAAGAATATTGCCATGCCAGAAAGGTGAGGGCTTATTTGAATGGGTTTTTTTCTTTGTGTATTTCCATTTCATTTATCACTTCAAATGTACTTATCTTTTCTCCTTTAGTCTGAAAATCGTTATCACGTCCCAAAGGGTACAAAGTTTTATCGAGTTAAAGTCCGCTCACTGCATGAGGATAGTCTCATGATGAAAAGCAGTTACCGTCCTAAAGCTCAACAACAGTTACAACAGCATGCTCAACCACAAGCTGAAGAGTTAAAGAAAGTAGAGATCAGCTTTGCAAATGGTATGTATACAAATTTAATTACGTTGCATTTTCTTCAAGAATTTAGTGATGTGTAGTTTAATATTAAATAGAGTTGACCCTGCACACCTATTATTTGTTTCAGAGTCTGAAGCTGTTTCACTGCCATGTGCTGCATCCGGTCCTCTTAGTGGTAGCAGTGCAAGTAGTTTGCCAGAAATGGGGGTTACTGATGCATCACAATGACATGTGATTATGAAATTACAGCTATTCCCTCCCTCTGAAGATACATCATCCTACCTCATATGTCATAAGGGAACTAAGCTTTTGTTGATGGTTGGTTTGGGAAACTTTTTAGAATTGGATGGAATTAATGAATATGGCTGTGAAGAGGTGAAACGATTGTTAGAGAATTTACAGATGTGACTTTGTGATACTTTTCTGGGAATCATTCAGCTTCTTTCCTATGAATTGTGTTATTAAAATTGTTAAAATAGCAAGGTGAGGTGATGTGATTATGAAAATGTATTTAGTTGAATTTAATATTACATATCTAGATTTCATAGTTTTGACTCCACTTTTTATTTAAGATGAGTAAAAATTTATCTAAGATACTTTTTAAAGAAATAAAAAAATTCTGTTCTCAATCTCTGACTTCAAAAGACTTAAGTGTCACTTTTTATTATGTAAGGCAGCCAACATGGCATTTATTTTGACTCCCGGATCAATATTTGTTGAAAGTAATCATGTGGTGCCATTCTAATAAAGCTGTTGGCTTAGCAGACTTTGTGTTTGAATTTATTTTCATCTATGACGAACATATAGTCTTTAGTTTCCTCTCATTATTATAATATTCATAGCTATTTAACATGCACCTTCTTCAAATCTGATTAACACTGTTTTTTCCTTACTCCATTATTATCACTAAAAAAAATAAAAAAATAACCAAGCTACTGGTAGTAACCAATTAATTTATGGCTTTGTGAATATGTTGTGAATCAAAGGAAACTGGATGTAAGGGGATTAGAGAATGCCAGACTGGCTTTCAATCAAATTAACCATATTAGGATAGTTTTATATCTTGTATAAAATATTTTATATACATAATGTATAGCGTAGCTCTAGCTTGATACTAGACTTCTCTCCCTTTCATTCTCTTGATCTTAGAGTGGCGTGGGATACTTTTGTGAAAGTTAAATTTGTTGCCAACAGACTTAATTAGCATTGCCTTGATTTGGCCAGTGAATTTAGAAGTTATGTCCAAAGCATTGAAAGTATGGTATGTAATTATGTTTTCCACTAGCTAAATATCAAATTTTGTTTTGATTTGTTTTCTAGTAGTTTCACAGTAGGTAAAAATATTTAACTTAAAATATGAAATGTAATCAAACTGAGGCTGTGTATTAGTTTGTAATGACATGTTTGGCATAAAGTTTTGCCAGGCTGGGAGAGTGCATGGTTTAAGTAAGTGACATGCCTCTTCATATTGGTTGTATGTGTTTCTATAAGCAACTCTGTCTATTTCCACACAATCTCAACAAATATTAATAGTTTCATTTTCAAAAGAAATGTCCTGTTAGCAAGCAGTTTTTACTCAAGTTGATGGATGTCAACATTCTGTTAGTAAACTATGACACCAAAATAATTTTTCAATTTTTTTTTCTGTTTTGTATATGGTTGACTAATTTTTATTTTTTGGGGAAGACTTGATTCACCGACATGCTGTGAAATATAAAATGAAAGCTACTGCCAATTTTGCTTTTGCTCTTTTGATGTCCTTACTAATATTTTGTTCTTCTGTGGCAACTCTTATCTCTACAATTATGTGACCAGCCAAAGAATGCTCCTAGGTCCCCCATAAGAGCCTATGCTACGCTAGAGGCATTTCAGCTGAGGCATGCTGTTCTGGGTTGGTCTGCCGAACTGTGCAAGATTAAAACAACCTGAGAATTAGTCAGTTCAAGGACAGTGTCCTTGCCTTACCTCACAACACTAAACTCATCCAAATGCTCTTTACAAAAAATTGACTAAAAATTTAAGCAGCATTTACAATACTGATAATTTGTGTGATGCCACATACTCGAATTCATGCTTGGATTAAAGTACATAATATTTATCGAAGTACCAAAGTTCCTTAGGAACATTGTGCACGAAACATCTTTGGGCAATGCGATCAAGCTAATGAAGAGTTAAATGCAACCCTAATGGGTCAATGCAATATATGTAACAGAATTTTGATTATCATCGCTTTTAAGAGGTTGGCTTTGCTTCCTCTAAATCCATTTTAAAAATTGTGATATTTACTAATGGGAGCACTTATTGTCTACTAGCACTTAAGAATGTGGCAAGACATGTTACATGTTTTGAGAGATGAGTTTTCAGTTGCCTGAATACAAAATTTGAAATTTCCCTGGTTAGGTTGCCATCGTCAAATATTAATACTACTTTTACTAACTTCCGTGAGAAAGTTAGTTCAATTTGACAGGACAATTTCAGTTGTAATGAGCAGGCATAATAAAGTTAAGGTAGTACTGAAACTTTCTGCTTATCAATACCACAATCAGTCCAAGACTGAAGAGTAAGAACAGGTAAGAATTTAAACCAAACACAGATTGGGAAAAGGACAGTTTATTTAGTTCTACTTCTTCTTGGAAACTCCCACAGTTCGTCCACGGCGTCCAGTTGTCTTGGTATGTTGACCACGCACGCGGAGGCTGTAATGAAACAGTAATACATGAGACAAAGCTTCAAAGTATGCAGCACCTAGGAAATGCACCAGAATGCAATGATAAATAGCCCAATTTCAGCAAACAAATCCGACACTCAAATCAGCAAAAGAATGCTCCTGGAAATGCAAGGGCAGTTATGGGCATCTAGGAAGGCCGAGAAGCATTCTTTGACTGATCAGACTAAGTAAAGCAGAATGAAAGTTAATATGGAGTGGGCAAGATTTTTAAGTACTCACCCCCAGTAGTGCCTCATGCCTCTGTGGGCACGGATCTTCTTGAGCCTTTCCAAGTCGTCACGCAACTTAGAATCCAAATTGGAGGAAGTGAGCTGGTTGAATTTACCATCAACAATATCTTTTTGTCTGTTGAGGAACCAATCAGGGATCTTGTACTGCCTAGGGTTTGCCATGATTGTCACAATTTTCTCGACCTGTTCAATCAGATAAGTTAGCGAGCTGTTGAAAACACAGCAAGGGTAACATCAACAGGAAAACTCACCTCTTCCTCTGAGCATTCTCCTGCTCTCTTGTCGAGGTCAATGTCTGCTTTCTTGAGGACGATGTTGGCATAACGGCGTCCGACACCCTTGATCGCCGTCATAGCGAACATAACTTTCCGTTTGCCATCGATGTTGGTTCCGAGGATACGGAGGATGTGTTGAAACTTTTCCGGTATGACCAGCGACTACAACAAAATAATAGAATAAGGTGTAAAGCGACAAGCCGGCAAAAATGTTCAGTTTCCACCAATTAAAATAAAACGGTGTTGCATAAATGATACAAGGCAAAATACAAGGTGTATTGAGCCTCCAACACAAACGCAATTAATTTGGCACAAGCTACCAGATCGCCAACACACTAGTGAAGTGATCTGTTGATTGTGCTAAGAAAAGTAATGTTAACATAAACGTTCGATGTCATAGCGGGCAGAAAGGTGAGAACACTTTGGAAACGACTGGATTCACATTAAGTAACGAAATAATGCAAGAAGCACTAAAATGTCAGTAAAAAGTCATGCCTGTCCATCGCCGCTGGACAGACAGGTTAGAATTGTTATGATTGCAAGTACAACGCCTATTGCAGAAACTAAAAGAGGCTTATGAAGCTAGTTGACGCCAAATTTCACACGAAACAAATTGCAGTACAAAATATATCCAGGACTCGGAGGATTACTTGGATTTCAAGTCAATTTTCTCACTCACCATCTTGCCGGAGAAAACGGACAACGATGAAAGAATCAAGATCGTTGTTTCCGCTGGTTGTATGGTGTGCTTTGCTTACCGGAAATACTCCACCTGAGTGCGTTCCTGTTCTTCTTGAATTTTGTAGCTATGAGATATGCAGGTAACGAAAACCCTAATTTATAAATTTCAGACATATTCTCCTGTCATAACATACAAGTTATAGGTTTTGTTTTTTTATTTTATAACAAAATTACAGCCAAAAGTTTGTTTTATACGCTGGCTTTGCTGAAGTTTAGGATACACAATTTATCAACATCAATTTTTCATACTGCGCGTCTGCTGCTGTTGGTGGTTGTGTGTGTGTGTTGGTGTTGGTGTTGCGGTGCACAACAAATGTAAATTTACCGGTTTCATACGAATTTCTGCCGTCGTGTGACGTTAATAATGTCGTTCAGAGAAATGAAGAGAAAGGGTGACGAGTTGAGTCTCGTTCCCTCCGCGAAAAAGACTAGAAATGAAGTAGTTGCGATTCACAGCAGAGAGAAAAGTGTAGTTCAAGTTCCTCGGACGTCCAACCTACAAGCTCCCATTATGCTGCTGGAGGGTCAACAAGGAGATATTTACAGCATTAAGTTCCATCCCGAGGGATCATACCTGGCTTCTGCTGGCTTTGACAGACAGATCTACATATGGAATGTTTATGGAGACTGTGAAAATGTTTCGCTAATGAGTGGTCACAGTGGTGCCATTATGGAGCTACATTTTTCCACCGATGGCAACACAATTGTCACAGGGAGCACTGACACTTCTATAGGGCTTTGGGATCTTGAATCAGGATCCCGTATTAAAAGACTGAAGGGTCATACCAGCTTTGTAAATTCATGTAATGTATCCAGAAGAGGGCTACTGCAGATCTGCAGTGGTTCAGATGACTGCTTAGTTCGAGTATGGGATCCTCGTAAGAAAAATGTTTCAGTTTCTTTGAACAGTACCTATCCAGTCACATCTGTGTCATTCAACGATACAGCAGAGCAGGTACGATCTGTTCCTTTTGTTGTACAGGAGGCAATTCAGCCTCATTAAAGATATTCAAAGTACACTTTCTTAATATTGTTTTGATTTTATTTTGTAGGTTTTCTCTGGAGGGATTGATAATGACATTAAAGTGTGGGATCTCCGTAAAAACAGTGTTTTGTACAATCTTAAGGGTCATGCTGACACTATCACAGGAATGTCGCTTTCCCCCGATGGCTCATATCTGCTTTCCAATTCCATGGATAACACAGTAAGTTTTTTATTTTACACTTCCAGGTTATTCAATATTTATGGAACATTTATAACAGCTCTATCCTTTGCCATTCCAGCTACGTATTTGGGATGTACGCCCCTTCGCACCTCAAGAGCGCTGTGTCAAAATCATTACAGGTCATCAGCACAACTTTGAAAAAAATCTTCTCGGTTGTGCTTGGTCCACTGATGGTTCTAAAATATCTTCTGGGTCGGCTGATCGATATGTTTATGTATGGGACACAACCTCTAGGCGTATATTGTATAAGCTGCCTGGTCACAATGGCTCAGTTAATGATGTTGCTTTTCATCCTAAAGAACCCATTATTGCTTCGGGTTCTAGTGATAAAACAATCTATCTAGGGGAAATTGAATAAAAATGATATTTGGATATTGTATATTTTGAAGTATTTTATAATTGTACAGTTTTTGGTCTTTTGTTTTTAGTGTTGAGATATTCCATCTAAACGAAAATCAATCATGTGGTAGCTGTGAATTTTTCTCAACAATTATGCCAAATACAAGGTCTTATAGTGGTCTTATCATTAAAATCTATCCGATTTGTGGGTCCCACGCCAAGCAAAACTTCCCTAAGACAGTGAGTGTCGTGAATATGAATTTTTCATACTCGTGTTAGTAGTGCAAAATGACGCCGGTAGATGGCAACAGTAAGCGAAAACAAACGTGCATGCCGAGAGCAGAAGTCGACGAGTGATAAGTGGTGATATGCTTTAACTTCAAGAAAAAGATGCAAATATTCGAAACCTGAATCCTGTAATTGAACTCTGATTTGTGTTGAGCCCACTTGGCCTGATAGTTTCCTTTAAATTCGTACAATTGTTTAGTTTTTGCTGTTGATATTGTAGAGGTTAAGGTGTGCCATGTTTCGAACTTCTGTTGTCAAAACATGTCGAGGTATTGTCCGGAGATGTTCCGGTACATTCTTAAATCAAACAAATCGACCACCTTCGATTTCAATTTGCTGTGGAAGACCTGAAACCGTTTTCATCCCATCGTGTCAACTTCACGTTAGTTTTGTATTTAGTCAGTCTGAGGATCAAGCTCAAGGCAAAAAGCCAGATGCTAGTAGCAAAAGTCACTCTCCTGTAGCCATAGGACAAGCCAGTAGAAAAATGCACTTGATGTACACTTGCAAAGTTTGTCAGAAAAGAAACCATCATGTAATATCTCGAGTAGCCTACACGAAGGGTGTTGTTATTGTTGAGTGCGAAGGATGTAACAATAACCATCTCATTGCAGACAACCTTGGTTGGTTTTCAGACCTTGATGGAAAAAGAAATATTGAAGAGATTCTAGCTGAAAAAGGAGAGACTGTTAAAAGAATTGTTGATAGTGGAGGGTTTTTTGAGAATACTACTAGTTCCGAAGACAATGAAAACACTGTATTGCTGCCTAAACATGATAGCTCGTCATAATTTGGTTCCTTAATATCTTGTAATATACTGTGTTCTGGAATTTTGTCAAGCAGAGAAAAAAGTTGCTTTTGTTCAAGTAAGGTAAATACTTTTACAGTCCTTGAACATTTTGTATTTAAGTGATGTCTCTTGATGCAACTGGGAATAACTGCAAGAATGAGGTCGAAATGAAATAAATTATTTTCAGTCAATCTACAATAACTCTATATTTTCTTTCACAAATTCTATATAATGTAACATAATATATAATATGTATATATCCATATAACTAAACTTTGGCTCCATATTCATCACAGCTAAAATATTTAAAACAAAGTAATCATTTGGGAACAGGAGTTGGTCATGAAAACTAAGTATGTCAGCTATAACATTTACACTCACTAAGTACATTTTACAAAATATTAATAACATCTATACTTATCAGCAAATAGTGCCTCACTGCTTGCTTAACTTGCTTTTGTCACCTGCATGCATAGTATTCAGGATTAGCAACAAGCAAGTCGTATCAGACATTTGTCTTAAAGTGCGCACATGAATGTACTTGAACATTATCCTTATTTGAACAGTTAATTAAACATATATAATATTAATGAGATAGGAATAGATCTTTTTAAACCCATAATGGCACAGTAAACATTAGAGTGACCCGCTAGTGATGATTCAGCAGAGCCTCTTTATTAATTGTCCACTTCACATCAAAGACCTTCTGAACAGGGTGGTGGAAACCCTCTCCTCGAGTCTCGGCGCAGAATTTAAGTACCCTAGTAGCGTTAAGTATAAATGGGCAAAATGGGTCCCACATTTATAGCGCATTTGCGCGCATGGAATCCTCACTTCACGCACGACTGGGGACTATTACAAGCGCATTTTGATGTGCATCACCAGACCTGCGCTACTAGTGTCATGGGGAGTGGTCGCAGGCTGAGGGCGCGCTCCTAGTGCGCCGCGTGCTGCTGTGGATGGTGGTGTTGGTGGTGGTGGTGATGCAGGCCCGCCAGCACGCTCGGGTCGTAGCTGTGGTAGTAGGAGCGGTGGAGCTGCTGGCTCGACGTCGAAGAGGAGGCGCTGGGTCCCCCCAGGCCGCCGCCGTGGCCGTGCGGGACCATGCCGTGCTCGTGCTTGACGAGGCCGTCCAGGGCGTCGAGGCCGCGGGCGTCGAGGCCACTGCCGTACAGCTTGACCGCCGCCACGGCGTACAGGGACTTGATGTCCGCGCCCAGACCGCCGCCGCCGAGACCGCCGCCGACCGGGCCCAGAGAGAGGCCGCCGCCCCCGACTGGAGAGCTGCCCCCGAGGAGTGCGTCGCCATGGCAGCCCAGCATCATGTCACTGTGGAAGAGGGAAAGGAGCAAGGCGTAAGTACAACGTAAACATAAACTGCATACTGCATGGATGGGGAAGCTATCTGCTTTTGGCCAACTCTAGCGCCGTGGACGTCGGCAACCCAACCGACACTCGTGCGTACCCGGCAGGCTATGTCGTGTTGGGTGGGCGCTCCCCACTCCCGGCTTCTTCCCCACTTCACCCTCATTCTCTCCCCCATTCCCTCATTTCTGCCTTTGCTCCCTCTTCAATCCTCATCTGCCTCCCACTCCCCCCTCTCCCCCCCCCTCTTTCTTCCTCTCTCTCTCTCTCTCCGGCGTACTCTCTCACACTCGCTGCCGTCGAAATTTGAGACGCGCCTGTCCCAGCTTTGTCATTGGCTTTGGAGGGTCCCTCTAGGGCTCCCCCTCTCTCACTCCCCTCACTCCAGCTCCCCCCCCCCCTCACACAGGATGCTGCTCCTTTCTTGCCCCCTCCCCTCCCCTTTCCCCCCCACCTCCAACCTCCTGCCCCGCTCGTCGAGCAGAGCAGCAAAATAACTCCTGTAATCCTCTATTCATCATTGTGATCAAAGAATGAGGAGACTGCTTGGCGCGGCGCTGCAGGCAGGAGGGCTCGCGCCGACTGCTCCTGCCGCCGCCGACCCGACCGCTGCCGCGACTATACGCAATGAGAGCGACAGTAGTGCTGCAGTGTCGCGAGGAGGGCGTCTCGACAAATATGGCGCGAATCGTACTATACACCTGAGAGACGCGTTCGCGACGTTAACGCAACCCTTTCCCCCGTTAGCTCTAAGGCCGCCCAACTTGTCGAGTGATGAGGGATGTTTCTCGTTCGTGTGACCGCGGCGGTCACGGCCCCCGCTTTCCGCTCTCAAGGCTCCCAGTGTTGCAGCCGCGGCCGCCACGCGTGGTAATCGCGCCGCGCGAATCACAATGGTCGATTGAGTTGTAAAGCAAGGGCGCCGCGTACGCGCCTTGGACATGACACGCCGCTCAGTCGGAGAAATGTCGAGAAAGAGGGCCAATTGTCTTGGAAATTTTATAGTCATTAACAAACCCAAGGTCGCTAGGACTAGAGAAATTTTCTATCAACTTTGCGATTTTTATTTTAGGAAATTGATGGGAAAGCCAAAAGTCAGACCCCGGGGAGTTTAGACCGTTCCGCATGCAGCTGTGCGGGGGGCTTGCCGACCGTACCTCACCACCACGGCTCCTGACCGTCCCTCGCGGGTAGGCAACGCATCCACACGCCTGGATGCGGTACAGTATAAACTAGATTGTGGTCAGGGCTCTGTGCGGGACATAATCCTGTGTAGTAAGGGAATCAATGACCCGCCTGCCAAGAGTTCGCGCCGAAGGGTCCCCCACTTCCAAAATAGGTGTCCAACGAGTTGCCGAGTTGCCGCGAGTAGGGCGCGAGTTGGGATCAATTTTTAGAGAGTTTTGGGCGATTTTAACGCGAGTTTTCGCGAGTTTTCGCGATTTGAACGCGAGTTAGACGCGAGTTGGGCACGGGCAAGTGTACAACGAGTTGGTGAGTGGGGGACTCCTCGGTTCGCGTTTACGCCCGCGTGACCCATGCTTCACCGAGCGTGGCGCGAGAGCGCGAGTTCGCCACTGAATTTACGTGAATTTCGCTTTGAAACAAAAATGATTTAACAAGGCCTCGAATATATCCACACACAGCTGTCGTTTGGGGGAGGGGGGGCTTTCCACTAATAGTCGTCATTTATTTGTGGTCACGGGTCAAGGGAAGAAAGAGGGTTATTTATTGAGGTGATAGAAACTTAGACATGCAACATGCTCTGAAGAATTAGGAAAATATTACATCACCATGCAATCAAAACAGTGTCAGAACAGATGTCTAGATACCGTATAATACTTAATAAGATACTGCATGCAGAAGAATTATGCGTGCTGTGCAAGCGCAAGCTCTATCAGAAGCACACCAAAGAATGCCGATTCGGAATTAAACTTGGGGATATGAATTTGATGCATTTTTTGGTTTTTAGTGTGCTTGATGATGTCATTGTGAAATTTAGACGCCGTTCACCCCCTGTCGTCAAATTAAAAGCAATTTTCGTATATACTCTCAGATTTGCTGTACGAAATAATTACTACACCCCTACACCGACATAAACGTGCTCTCCCTTTCTGCAAGCGCAATGCATTTTCATTGAAGGGAGAACATTAAAAATCGAGAGCACTTCTATCTAGCCGAATTCACAGGGTGTGGCAATAAACGTGTTCAGTCCCGATAAAAAGATTTTGTTCCTGGAGCGTCCAAATGCTTAGTACTGCAGATAAATAGTTTTTCAGTGCAATCACGTTTTTTCGCCACCCTCCACCCACCCGAAGTCAGTTAAACGCTAAACCCATGCCATTCAGCTTAAATTTTAAGGGGGAAAATCTAAGTAAAATATCTCGTGTCGGGGTGATGGGGACACGAGTCTTCGCAGCTGCACGACTCTGCTGCAGCGAGATCTGCCAGTCCGGCCTCCAGAAGTTTCACGAGGCCGTTCGTCTGCGTCGTAGGGGATGTCTGTCTGAGGTCATCCTTCTCCATCCGTAGGTCGTCAGTCAGCGTTGTCGAGAGTGCCCGACTTGGGTCCTTCGACCTCGCCTCTGACGTCGGAGTCTGTCTGAAGTCGTCCATGTCCGCGTGCGGGTGTGTGTGACCAAAGTCTTTCGTCGCCGTAGTGGAGAGTGTCTGACAAAAGTTCGTAGGCGTCGTTACAGAGGTCGGCGTCGTTGGGAGTGTCCTGGTGCTCGTAGAGGGCGTCGGACTGGTCTGCGGCTCGGGGTCACCGCGACACTCAGGGTGACGGCAAGCCGAGTCTGGGGCTGGGGCCGGGGCTGGGACCGGAGCTGGACTGAGTGGTGTTAAAGTCCAGGGTGGTAGATACGTCGTGGTCAAGGGACTGGGGGAGGCACTCGAACACGCTCCAGAGGACTCTGGACTGAAAGGCACCCTCCGCAACCAGGCTAAGCAGTCCGCGCACGAGCACTTACGAACTTTCGCCATGTAATCTGTGTACCTTCGGTGTTGCTGTGGCGTCCGGTCCCGCTGCCGACGGTTCTTGAACCAGTTGCTGACTTGGGTCAGGGTCAGGCTCGTCTTCTTGGCGAGGGTCTTCTTCTCGTCCGGGGTCGGGTAGCGGTTCTTGGCGTAGAAGTTCTTCAGAATTGTGCGCGATCGCTCCTTGAAGCAGTACACCGTCTCCTCGCCGTCCCATATGGTTTTGGGCAGCGGGTACTTCTTGCGTAGTCTGTATTTGTCGACTGCACCGAGCGGCCGCTGGCGCATCTTCTCTGCCTCCCTGTAGTGCGCCTTGTACCACATCTGGAGAAAAAAGAGCATTATGATTACAATGATGTTACACCAGGTGGCCGATTAACAGACGATTAACCCCGGTCACTTTTGTACGTGTATTGTTCCGTATGCAGGCGTTTGCCTATCATCGTCGCTGACCGCGGGCGGCGCCTGGCGGCCTCGACCGGATGGACAGGCAACCTGCCCACACGCCTGCATGCGATACAGCATAACTAAAAACGTGCGTGGGATTAATGCGCCACCTTGGCACAGCGTTCTGTTTCGTCGCGATAATGTAGTGCATCCAGAAAGCCCGTCCGTTTTTCTCTGATTCGTCCGGCAAATTATGGGAGCTCGGCGCCTGCGAACCTCAGGGTAGGCCACCCCGCAGTACACACATGCGATGCAAGCGAGATGTGGCCTATCTACGCGGGGCACTATGAGAGCTTGGCACGCACTGAACTTGTCAGTTTCGTAACGACGAATAACGGGCGCACTTTCTAGATGGCCCCTTCCCGCACGCATGCCTCGGCCAGAGACGACAGGCAACGCCTGCGCCTGCATGCCGTGTAAATCAGTACGAAATTTGGACAAGGCCGATTAGCCACCTGGTCGTCACAG